GTGAATGAAATAAAGGGAGTAGATCTTCTTTTCTTAAATTGTATTTAGAACTTTATTGATTTTAGAGGAAGGGGGAGAAAGAAACACCTATTGGTTGCCTCCCACACGCACATGCCCCAACCAGTAACCTGGGTATGTGCCCTGACTGGGAATCGAACTTGCCACCTTTTAGTGTATGGGGTGATGCCCTAACTGAGCCACACCAGCCAGGGCTGGGAGTAAGTCTTTGCAGGTCTTTTTTGTCGTCTTTAAGTCTGTGCCTTGTTCTTTTTTTCTTTTTCTCTTTTTTAAAATATATTTTTATTTTAAGTGTGTCTGCTTTTTATTTTTTTTCCCATCAACATTATTTTAAAAAATCTGTATTGTTGAAAGTATTACATATGTCCCTCTCTTTCCCCCATTGACCTCCTTCAGCCCGCCCCCTGACACCCCACTCCAGGCCTTCAGCACCCTATTGTCAATGTGGCCATGGGTTATGCATGTATGCATACAAGGTCTTTGGCTAATATCTTCCCACCCCCCCCCCTCCATACTTTTTAATTTTATGCCGTCTCTCTCTTTAAAAAGCTATTACCTTTACATTTTACGTAGAGCAGCATTTGACTCCTCAAACCTATTCCTGGAAAGGGAACAGAACTAGACAAAGTAATGCCAGTAAAATAACTATGTTAAGTATATTTTCTTCCAGGAAAAAAGAAAGAAGACTACTAGTTACTATTGAAAAATAACTTAGTGGTGTCAAGTTATATTTATATTTAAATAATAAAATAGACTCTTTGACCACCTACCATTAAATTTGACCCAGACTGACATAAGATATGTCGTCTTTGGAGAAGTGTCTATTTAGGTTCTCTGCCCATTTTTTAATTGGATTAAAAATAAATAAATAAAATAGATTTTTTTACTTATTTCAGAGGAAGGAAGAAGGAGAGAGAAATAGAAATATCAATGATGAGAGACAATCATTGATCAGCTGCCTCCTGCACACCCCCTCCTGGGCATTGAGCACTCAACCCTGGCATGTGCTCTGACAGAATCAAAACATGACCCCTTGGTTCATAGATCAACGTTCAGCCACTGAGGCACACACCAGCTGGGTTGTGCCTTGTTTTTTTTATTATAGTGTCATGCTTAATCTCATCCATATTATATCAGCTATAACTTTATTCAAACAAATGTGCCATTAATTAATTATAAGAATCAACAGAGCCCCAGCCTATTTGGCTCAGTGGATAGAGCGTCAGCCTGCAGACCAAAGGGTCCCAGGTTTGATTCCTGGCAAGGGCATGTACCTCGTTTGCAGGCTCTTCCCTGGTCCAGGCCCTAGTCGGGTGCATGAAGGTGACAACCAATCGATGTATTTCTCTCACATTGATATTTCTGCCTTTTTCTCTCTCTTCCACTCTATCTAAAATCAATGGAAAAATATCCTTGGTTGAGGATTAAAAAAAAAAATCAATAGATTCTTCTGAAATTCTTATAGATGGACATATTTAATAGAAAGAATTACTTTCCAGGGACTTAGTTTTAAACATTTTATTAGCATTTCCAATGTGAAATATACATTACTATCTAAAGTTACTAAAAACAGTAATACTCCTGAGTCGAATCTTTATATAATTCAATTTAGCATTATTTCTTGAGTATAAAAGTATATATATTTTTTCTAGTGTGGGCCCCTATCACTAGTGACTGAAGAGAATTGTGAAAGAAAAACGAAAGGATTGATTTTAACATTATCTTTGAACATTAAATTAACAGCAAAATTATAATTTCCATAGTCAATAATTTGATTTATGCTCGATATAAAACAAATGAGCTTTTCTACGTAAGTAAATTATTTTTGCTAACTATATACATTTTAAAATTAAGGAAGTCACATCCATTGAAAAAATAAAAATTATCTAGAATCTTTGTTAAATCACAAAAGTGATAAATTGTATCTATAATTTTGAGTCTTGCTTTTTTTCACTTGACCTTGCATGACAGGCATCCCCTATGTTATTAGACATCTTCTGAGAACATGGTTTTCGACAGTGCAGAAGGACATTAGAGAGCAGTTAGCCCACTGCTCATTTCACATGAGGAAACACTCAGACGTGTCATACTTGTCCAGATGACAGACACATAATAGCCTGTGACTATAGTCTCATCCGCTTTCCACCTGCTTCTCGAATTCAGACATTTGCTCCATGTATAACTTTGTGCTGTCTCCCTTTCTACGAAGGCTTTTCTTTGACAACTAGAGTCTCCTAAAGTGTGATTGTCTTTGTGTGTTTGCTTAGGGTTTACTACTCAACAAGCAGAAATCATTGTATCTGCATTGGTGAAGATCACGGAGGCCAACATGGATATCGTCTACAAAGACATGGTCACCAAGATGCAACAGGTTAGCTTTGTGAGAGCACCTTTGCAAATTTGAAATCTAAAGGGAAGATGTCACTTGTAATATGTATTTTTGGATACTGTCCTATTGAAAAGCATGTAGTTAATTTTTATCATAGTTGAGAGGCTAATTATTGCAGTGGCATAAAAAGTATTTGCTCAAAGCTATTTAGTAAACTTGTAGAATCAAATTATTATGCTAGAAATTCACTATACTTGAAAAGTCTCTCTGCTTGAAAACTGTTTCAGTCCACCATCTACACTAATAAAAGAGAAACATGGTAATTGGCGTACGACCGCTACCCTTTTTATTGGCTAATCAGTGAGATATGCAAATTAACTGTCAGCCAAGATGGCAGCCGGCAGCCAGGCAGCTTGAAACTAACATGAGGCTTGCTTGCCTCAGTGAAGGAGGACTCCAACATTCCCCGCCTACCACTGCAGGCCTCTGAGCTGCCACTCTAAGCAACTATTTAACAAACATAGAAGCTAAACAAAACCCCAGAAACCAGCTTTAGTCCTGGGCTTCAGCCAGCAGGATCACAACATTGTATGCAAAGGCCAGAAACCTACTTTCAGCAGCGGAGGCCTAAGAGCTGGAGCCAAGCCTCAGAGCTAAAGCTGGCCCAGAATAATAATAATAAAAAAAGACAAAAAGGAGCGGTTGGGAGCTTCAGTCACCCCCAGCCTGAAAACAGCCCTCAGCTCCTCACCCAGACTGGCCAGGCACCCCAGTGGGGACCCCCACCCTGAAGGATGT